AAGCCCTGCCGTCCCGCGTTACCGCTCGCTCTCCTCTGGATAGTTCCTCTAGGAAGCTGAAGAGGAAGAAGGAAAAGTGCAGCTGAGGTGCAGACACTGGAGAAACAAAAACATAGTGGAGGGTAGAGCCAGAGAGTCTTGATGAAGCACTGAAGGATCCCAGGGAATGAATTCGAAAGAAGTGGGCACCGTGCCTTTCGGTGTCCTTCCCTGAGGGAGCTCAGGGCTGGTGCCATCCCAAGGCACCATGTTCTGCACTGGCACCAGAGGCGAGGGCAACAGTCCAGCAGCACTGTATTCATCACAGAAGAACCAGTGGAGAATAACTTCTTGGGGAACAGCATTAGCAATAATAGCACTAAGATTTATTACCCCCCCTGCCCATTACTACTTATTGGCATAATATGTTTTCCATCATTTTCAAATGTTTTTCAAAGAAAATACTGGTTTAAGTAGCTATGTCTGTACAAGTGGTAGATTTATCGTCTTGTGTAAACTTTGTAAATGTGCCACAAGGTGCACAAATACCATTGTAAATTATTAGAATACAAAAATGTGAACTACCTTCCCTGAAAAAATCTGCTGTATATTTAACTAAACAGTTGATAGCTGCTCAATAATTACCTTATTGAGCAAAACAGTTTTCTGTGCTTATGCAAGAGATGCTTACAAGTAGACTTCAGTTATAGCTGAAGTAGTTAGAGATCAAGTATTTAACAAGTGCTTGGACAGTGTCAAGTGTTAAAATAAATCTGTGCGTACAGGCTTAACGCTGTGGCTAGTTCTTAGGAGCAGATCAAATTGCAGTTACCGAACCCAGTATTAAAATCACTTGTGTAGGTAAGGAAGGGATGCTTATTTTACTTTTTATTGGTGGTGGTTTTAGATACAAACTGGCTGAGAACGCATCAGATGAGAATAAAAGGAAGTTACAGGACTGGCTATAGCATATTGTGGAGAGGGTGGCTTCTTATATAGAGGGCTGTACAAGTAAGTCACGCCTCTGTGATGGGTGCACCCGCTCTGACTGAATTAACAGTACTTTGGTTCAGATATCACCAACAAGTAGGCCTAAGTGAAGTCAGCCCTGTTGTACAAACCTTGAGAAATTGTGCTAGGCCGTATCTTCTCAGGAACTTAAGGAATTTGGGTCATGTCTTATCAGGAGCTAACAATAGCAGCCTGAGCTGGGACCAGACAAAACTACAGCTGCTGGGGTTGCACAGTTGCATGTACACCAAAGGGGAGTTTGACTACAAGTCAATCACTTTACGCTATAAATATCTGCAGCCACCACAGCCCGTTGAGCTCACTTGCACAGCAGCCACCTGCATGGCGGTTATCTCCCCGTGACGCCTCTCAAGGTTAGTCCTCAGGGTTGAGAGATCCCTTACCCGGCATCTGATATCTACAGCAAGGTAAGTAACATTTTATATTAGATCTAAAGCATGTTGCGAGCTAGCTTAGTTGTTAGAAGCGTAGTAAGTAGTAGCGACCACTGTCTAAACATCATTTAATCATTGTTTAATAATTGTTTAATAAAACCTTTTGGTTAATCCCACAACGATGACTTCTCTTAATAATTCACCTGCGACAGCCTCTCAATTTATTAACTTATCTTTATTTTGGGATGTAGTGTAAGATCAGTTTGCCTTTTCTTAGTTTTGTTCCTTTCCTCTCATCTTGTGTCCTGTATGCATGGGACAAAACCACAACTTAGTCCTTCCTCCTCTGCCTCTTCTGTAAATGGGTTCTGGTCTTACTCTGTTTCCAAAACACTTAAGCAGGAGAGTGATGTTAAGAAGCTGCATGTCTCCCTGGGTTTGTCCCTGCTTGCACAGAAACAGCTACAATTTTTCTGTAAAATACGGTACTATGTTATAGCTGGGATAAGCAGGTACTAAAAGTCATCTCAAGCATGAGTAGGATTAGCCAGTGATACAGACTGGAAACATTAGCTGCTGCTAAAATTTGTTTCCTCTCTTGCCAGGAACTTTGACAGTTGAGGTAGCAGTATCTTGCTTCTCATGGGCAGCCACCCCACTTAATGCAGAGTGAATTGTCTGTATTCAACACTTGGCATGTTCTGTTTGGCATCCAAAGTTTGTTCATACTGTGCCAGAGAGCTCCTACTGCAATACATCCTAGTTCTGAGCAGAGTCTGAAAACAATGCTGAGCCCAAGGAGCGAAACTTCACACAAGATAAACACTGAAAGAAGGCAACACTGAAACAACCTTCAAAGTGACAGTAAACGAGAGCTCTTTCTGCCTTAGTGCATATTGCCTCTCTGTGTAAATGCCTCAGAGAGGCTAAATCTGAAATGTCTACCTGCTAAACCCCCCCCAACTCTGCTTTTTAAAATAAGCAAAGAAACCTGTTTAGGTTACTTCATTAATATTAATAGAATTATTGACGTAGTATCTGTCAAGGTCCCTACTAAAATGCATTCTACATTATAGTAACCCTAGGAGACTGTTGCAAGAATACAGTCAAAATACTGGCTTTGTAGTGCAGGGTTATGGTGACAGACTAGACCAGACACAGTAGAGGAAGAAAAAGGAGAAAGTACTGCTGAAAGACCGGAGAGATACACAAAGTAAAATCCTTTTCTACAGAAGCCTGTACTCAACATCACTTCTCTAAATGACAGGTGCAGAAGAGGCAAAGCTTTACAAGATAATGCTGGGTGCCTGCAGTGTGGTGTATACACTGCAAACAATTTAAGACATCAAAAGCATTTAAAACTGAAATGATCTCTACTACTTCAGTGTGCTGCCAAGGCCACCATTGATCAATGAGTGGGGAAAAAGAAAGGGAGAGCTTCCGTGTTCCTGGCCTGAGAAAGTGCAGTTCCTCACTCAGCAACACAGGACATTCCTTAAGAACTTGGCAGGAAAGCATGCTAGTGCGTCAGACGCCTATTTACCCAAAGCGTGATCCCATGAAGGCACTTGAATGTAAGTTTCAATGTTTAAGTGAAGGAGGGGACTTGATTGTATTTACTACCTTACCTGTCACAGGGGCACTGATTCTTGCACGTAACAAAACTGGTGTTCCCTCTTGCAGATGGCTGAGGAAAATGCAAGAGTTATTTCAGTATTTGAAGCATTTGTGAATGAAGATCTTTTGACCAATGCAGCAGAAAACCCAGATGTGTCCAGAGGTAAAGCTGGTTCTTCAGGATAAGACTGTCCCTACTGTTTCTAGCACAGCTGTAACAAACTGTGTGACCTAGCTCCATGTGGCTTCCCCTAAGGACACCTCATGGCAACTATACACACCCACAAGGATCTTGGGGTCCAATTCACAGTCTGCTTCCATTTCAAAGCACTTTTTATACAAATGAATTTACCAGATGTACTTAATGTATTTAAGTGGTTAATAAAAGACTTCCTAGCACTGTAAGGCATTTTGTTCTGAAGAGGAACAAAAACCAGAACTGCACTTTTACATATACAGACTTATTTTCAGAGGCTCTTCAGTCAAGGCTGAGGCCTTGAAAATGACAGCCTTGGCAAGATTGATGCTTTTGGAAGATCCTGGTTTTAAGATACTAAGAAAAGATTATTCTTGAAGTGTTCACTTGCACCTGTTCCATTTATCTAGATACTACTGCACTTCCTCCTAGGATCAAGCATCCTATGGGCTGGTTCGCTCTGGAGCACTTTGGGATTAGAGGTAAAATATTAGAGAATTACAAGTTTGATCTCTGCTAAGATGTGGAAACTGGAGTTCCACATCTTTCTACTGCATTCCCCACAATCCCCACTTCTTACATGTATGCTGCAAACAGACCTCACCTCATGTCGAGTCTGAGACTTACAAGAAATTCCATAATGAAACAAAACACTAGAAATACCTCAGAGTGGTTCACAGAAGACCTGCTCTTTCTTGAGGTTTAAACACTTAATGTTAATTAACTTTGACAACTGCATACACACATTTGGCAATGTTAAGACATGACAACGCTGAGTGCCAGAGTTTGACATAAGCACTTAATAGCTTTGCTCTAAATTCTCTTGTAACAACTACTGCTGTTGATGGCAGTCCTTTTTTCTCCAATTCTGTGCCTTGTAACAAGCCAACTTCAGGTGCTCTTAGCTGCTGTGGGACATGGTTCTGCCAGCTGTTACGGTGCCCCTAAAGAGTGCGGGACATCAGTGTTGTGCTTCAGCTGCCAGGGTAGAACAGATGCAGATAATGGACAATGTGTCTCATCTCTGGCAATTCATCTGAGTGCAACTGCAGAACGTCATGCTGGATTTAAAACAGAAGGTAAATGCAGCACTGACGGATGATGAAGTGCAGAAGGAGAGAGTTCCCCTAGGCGTCAGTCATTTATTCCACTCTGTTTCAAGCCAACAGTGATCAAAAAGCAGATCCCATGAAAGATGTGTCCTTTCCTTCATCCATGGGGAGCAGCGACAACTTGATGTATGCAAGCGAGGCATGCTCTGTCATGCTGCACCTATTGAATGCACGATGCAGAGGAGTTGCAAAAGTAAAATATACAAGAAGTCTGAACACACCTTCCCAGAGAACATGTTGGCTGTTTCCACTCTAGATCGCCTTAGAGCAGGCAGGTTGCACAGGTGCTAGTTGTTGGCCCCTGCGATACAAGCTGAAAGAAGTAATCTTTCATCTGTGCATCATTCAATCAAACTGGGCAAGTACAGTTTTCTTAATGTTAGGGCTATAGTTTTTCTTTTCGAAACTAAATGCCTTTTTATTAATGAGATTACTAGACTAATCTCTAGTATCCTAAATACAGCAGAGCTTAGGCACGCAGTGGCAGCTTTTTGAACATTTAGCTGGAGGGAGAGGAAATGCTGTATTAAAACTTTGCTTCTCCTTGGAGGTTCTCTTTGCTTTTTTCTCCTTAGCACAATCATGTAGGTTTTATAAAACAGTTTTGTAATAACCTGGATTCATTCATAGTGCAAACTTCCTGAATTGATGAATTTGTTAAACAAAAAGCTTAGCTTTACAAATATTAATTTATCCAAAAATTTATACAAGTTTATCCAAAAATAAATTCTCAGGTTATTTACAACAAAAATCCAGACCTCTAGTTTTGGTACCTTTTGTTCTTGGTGAGCCAAGCAGATCAGAAGCCAGTCTTTTCATCTGGCCTCTACAGTGGGCAGGTTTCCAGTAACGTGGGCTACAAAACACCTTAGCAAGTGAACCCCTGAAAACTCCAGAGAACTGTGGAAACAAAGGTGTGGATGTTCAGTCCAGATGCTGCTGTGTCTTGGAGTAATACAAGCGAACTCAGCCACCGGCTGTATTAAATTACATCTCCCACAGTGCAGTACAACCTCGGTAAATTAAGCACTTCAGCTAGGTAATCAAACAATTACAGCTTGCTGCTGTTAACACAGCTCCAAACGAAATGGCAAAGCCCACTAGCAGGCAGCATAGGGACTCTGCCCCTCGGAGAAAGGCCAAAGGAGGAGCAGCCTTGAAAACTGAACCCCACCCGCAGAGGAGGGGGAGGAAGGAAAGGGGCGCTTCCCCACCAGCAGCCCAGCCTCCATCCTTGGGGCACAGAGAAGTGCCACCTCTAGAGCAGACAGACCCATTTCAGGTAGTTTGCCCTGCTGCAAATCATCACCTGAAAGGAAACGGCAGCAACGGAGAAGAGCTTTACCTGACCAGGAATAGCTGAGGAAAGCATCCCTGAGTTTTCTCCTTTACAAACTCCTGGATCTCCAGTACGTTCTTTAACAACAGTCCCCTGGAAGCTCGGTCAATTTTTGTTAACACCATCTGCATGGATCCAGAAAAGGAGGATTAAAAGAGGAAAAGAAGATTATTTTGCTGCTAGCCTGGAACATCTGCAAGAGTCCTGGACCATCCTGCAAGGCAGGCTGAAAGCTCTGGGTCGTATCTAGGGGGAAAAAGGGTATAATACAGTTCACCAAAACACTTCTATAGCCTGCAAAGGAATGGACCTTTTCAAGCTCCTCAAGTCAAGCACTGAAAAAAAAGAGTCTCTCTAATAATTCAAGCAAAAAATCCCTTAAATCCCACTTGCCCCCCTCAACACATTTTAGGCCTATTTTATTAACAATAAAGGGGGGGATGTTACTACTTAGGTAGGACAACTTGCGTAAGATCAGGTAGAGGTTATACACCTTTTATAGATTATCTGTACCTTGTAACCAATACAAGAATGAAGTGTTACCTACCACATAAGGAATCCCAAACTCTTCCAGCATCTCTACTGCAATATGATCTGTTTTCTGGAGTCCTACTACACCATCAACTAACAGAAAAGTCCTCTTCAAGCTGCCAGAAATACAAGCAACAGTAATCACCACCATTATTTCATGCCTGCTCTGCTACTTCCAAATTCGTAAGCGAGAACAAGTAACACGGGATCTGGGGATAGGAGGAGCCAAGAAAAGCCATGCATGGGAGCTGAGGGTCAGCATGGAACAGCACCTCAATCTTTTCTGCTGTTTTGATTTCTCTAAGCGCGAATAAGTGACACCACAGAGGTTCCCAGGGAAATGACATCAGACCTAATCAATACTACCATTGGAAGTAGCTACCCCTCCTGCATTTTTTCACCTAATTACATGACACTGTATCTGGCTTTCGTTGCTCTGTGGAGGTACAATTAAGTCCCTTACTTGTGCCGTTCCTGCAGATAGGCTTCCACCATCTCCACAAAGTCTTGTGGGGCACGGTAGCCGTATCCTGGCATATCCACCAGAGTAAAGTACTTCCCTACTTTGAAGAAATTCATCTTCTTGGTGTGGCCCTGGGGAGAGGATTTAGGCAAGATGAAGGAAGGGGGTGGTTTTAAAAAGTTGCTTTAAGCAGTGGACTAGGAGATGCCCCACAAAACATCTCTGTACCATACCCTGCCCCCCAGAGAAGGCTGCAAAAATGCTACTGTTGCTTTAAGCTGCCTAATCTCCTACCCTTATAGCAATCCTGTGTGGCTCTATCCTTACAACAGATGAAAAACACCTTCATGGGTCTCTGTGCTTGGTTCTTCCCAAAGGGCTTTACAGCACGGCTGCTCAGCTGGAATGACTCTTCCGTCTGGCACGTGCCAGCCCTGGCTGAAGAGCTAAGCTGGGCTCTTTCCACTTTTTCCTTTGCTAGAGCAAGGCCTGCGCCAGTCGTGAGCTGGTGGCCACCATGGCTGGTACGTTCTCCTGCTGCTTCAAGTAACCCATGAGCTTATTTCCTCCCGCCCTTCTCAGCCCTATACTCTGGGTTGGCACCAGCTTCTGACCAAGAGGAAGGGAAGTTAAAAGTGTCACTTACTGCAGTTTTTGACACCCTGACCTCCACTTCTGGAGACAGCGAAAACAATGCCCGTATTAAAGATGATTTCCCCACATTGCTTCGGCCGATGAAGCACACCTGCAGTAGGAGAGGCAGAGAGAGCACTTCTACACTTGCCCACCTCCCCTCATCCAACGTGTCTGGGCCGGGGTTACCGCCTCCTGCTGCAGTCAGCCCTGGTCATTTGTCAGCCTTTGGTGCCAATGCCTGGGGACAGCGATGTCCTGTGCCACGGGCTGCTGTCCCGGACACAGCAAATTGCCGAGTGGTACAACGCGGGGAGCAACAACAAATAAATGATTTAGAAAGAGCCACAATAAGTGCACCACGCACTGTGCAGCGCTCAGACACTGCCGCCCCAGAGCTCCACAAACACTGCCAACACCCGCTTATCTCCAGCAGCTCAGGCCACCCGGGGGCGCGGCG